ATAGATAGATAGATAGATATTGGAGATGTGATAAGAGATGAGGAAACACAAAATGAGTGTAAAGGACAGGAAAGAGCTGCGGTTGCTGGGGTATACGAAAGATGAGCAGGTGAAGTGAGGAGAGGAATGAACGAGGAGGAGAGTCAAGGCCCCATAATAGTTTGAGTCCTAATCAGACTGATAAGATATGACAACCTCATAGCCTCAGAGCCAACATAACTATTCTCTCTCTGTGTCTTTCTCCCTCCCTCATGCACACACACGCTCACATACACACCAAGATGCTGGTCATTTATGCTGAGGAGTTGGCTGTCAGGCCACGTTCACACATCCACTTCAAAAACGTTGCTGCCTCTGCAACTCAGAAATTTATGGCTGTAAGGAAACTTAGATTATTGAACAATACAGTCCAACAACTTTCCAAAGACCTGACCGATCCTTTAGTTTGTCGTTACGTCAGAATGGCAATTGAATGGCTACAAGTTGCATAAAGAAGAACAGGACATTAAAGACCACTGTATTATATGCTATAACTTTATTTTGTAGCAACACAGACTTTGCAGCACTGCGGTGCACTGCATTGTGGAACTAGCCATCTGTTGGGTTTTTTTATGTGATAGGGGAGTGCTGTGTCTCTGTTGCACCACGAAGAGCGTCTTGCCATTTGCGCCTGTATAGCTTAGCCTGTATAGTTGACACAAAGTCTCACCTGACCACTATACGCCCTGAGGGGTTTTTCCTTCCTCTATTGATCTCCTCACTGCTCTCGGGATCAGCCACCTGCCTGCACAGCTGCTGCTCATTTGCTCATTAGTTCCCCAGTATATATAAAAGGCAGTTTCCCCACACACATTTGCCAGGTGGTGCCGCCTAGTTGTTGTGTCTGAGTCATTCATATCTGCTTGATACCTGTTGCTCATATTCTGCCTGCTGTTTCTGCAGCGTTCGCTTGCCTGATTCTGCCTGCATGCATGTTTCTGACAGTAAGCCTCAAAAGCCCAGTGAGTAAAGAGGCTTTTAGCATTACCTGCCCAGCTTGTTGGGTCTGCTTAGCGTTCTGCATTTTGAGTCTGTATCATTAAGAGAGTTCAGTTTTGTCAGACTCTCCTTGAGCTATCTGACTAAAACTAAGGTTGGTAACTGTGTTTAATTGATCTCACACAGTTTACTTACTCGATCTAGTAAGCCTAGTTATCCAAGTCAGGACTTTCACAAGGAGGCAGTGTTAACAGTCCAGTGTGTAACATTTAGGAGGCTTTATTGGCAGAAATGCAATAGAATATAATAATATTCATAGGTATATATACATATCAGTGTATAATCACCTGAATAGGAATTGGTATTTGTTACCTTTAGAATAAGCCCTTTATACACCAATAAGCCATAACATTATAACCACTGACTGCAGAGAGCAGAGAGAATCATCAGAGACACACTACATCCAGCTCACTCCCTGCTCAAACACAA